TCGAGTCGGCCCCGACTCATAGCGACCCCTCCTTGGGTTTTCGAGGCAGTATCACTACGGAAGTAGGATTGCCCAACCTTCCTTCCGAGGAGTTTTGAAGTTGGCAAAGATTTCATTTTACTTGGATTCACAATCAACACCCATAGAAACAGCAGTCAGTAAATCAGACTTTATATCACACTGGGCAAATCAGCTGCAAAAGACCTCTTTAAAGTGCTGAAGAGCAAATAAATCACTTTGAAGACTAAGGTGTGCCCAACCCAAGCCATAGTACTTTCAATCACTTCATATTCATGTGAAAGCTGAACAGTGAAATTGTGGTGTTGGTGAAGAATACTGAAAATACCGTGGCCTGCCAGAAGAACAAACAAATCTGTCCTGGAAGAAGTGCAGCTGGAATGCTCCTTGGAAGCGAGAATGGCCAGACTTCACCTCACCTACTTTGGTCATGTTGTCACAAGGGACAAGTCCCTGGAGAAGGATATCATGCTTGGTAAAATGGAGGGTCAGAGAAAAAGGGGAACACCTTCAAGAAGATGGATTGACACAGTGACTGCAACAATTGGTTCAGGTATAGCAAGGACTGGGAGAACGGTGCACAATTGGGCAGTATTTCATTCTGTTATACGTAGGGTCACCATGAGTCAGAGCCAACTTGAAGGCACCTAACAACAACATTGTCCAGTAAGAAAGAAGCAAGGTGTAGAAGGGTATGTATAATATGTTTCTACCTGCATTAAAAATGGAAGGAGATATCTAGTTGTTGATGTCACTATAGATAAATGTTCTGGAGAGTAGTTTCTCTGGGGAAGAAGTCTTAGGTACTATGTACCCAGTTAAACTTTTTCTTCCTTCCCAAACAGGCTAGTTACTTTTTAAATATATGGTAAAGGAAGGAGAGAAACTGGGGGAGGGATTATTTTCTCATTCTTAGAATTTTAACAAAATAATACTGGAGAAGAAAACTTTAATTAAATAAAATGCTCACACAGAATGGGAAGTTCTTGTTAAAAGAATTTTTCAGCTATTCAACATTAAGGAAGAAGATCGATTTAGTTTCCATCTTTGTAAAGACTATTCATAAATACCTGAATTTATTCTCTGGCCTAGGTAAGCCCAGGGCAGAGAACATCATGTAGTCTTTCTTGGAGCACTCTGCAGTGCCTTGTGCTCAAAGTTCTATACTCAATTTTCACAAATAGGAGCAGAATCTAAACTGATTCTGGGGCATCTTTTAAGAGCTTTCTTGTTATTCAGCACACAGAAATGGAATGTTAGGAGCAAAAAAAAGTCTTCAGACTGATAAGGACTCTAGCTAGTTGGTTTTCAGCTAATTGAAATTCAGCTAATTAGAATCACAAGGAAGCCACAAATTTGGAGCAGCTAATCCAAGCCCCATCTTTGGTCCTAGCACCAAGTTAGATTCAAAATGAAGAACAGGAAATAGATGATTTCAATATAGATTTCCATGAACTAGAAATTGAAAGGTTGTA